TCAAAGAAGTATTTTTAGAAAGACAGAGTTTTATTGTTGTGTGCAAAACTACATAATTTCAAAATCAAGGTGGGTGTCTAAACAACTACTCGACTTGTTAATCTTTAGCAAGGTCTGTTTCAAACTAGTGAACCATCTTGTCCATTCATTGTAGTTTTATTGGCATGGACATCAGCTCATTAACTGTTTTAAAACTGTTGTGCAGCACCACATCCACAGTTTCAGCATGATGGTTTTGTTTGTATTGAACAGTCAGAAGTTAGTAGTCATTATTAATTCATTCTGCTCTTGAGCAGGAGGACATGGCATTTTCAGCGTGATGCTGGATCTTTGCTCTGTTTTTCCTTTTCACCTTCAGTCACTTACACCCTCCTGTCTGATTTCATTGCTGTGTGTTTGTTTAGAGTTCTCCTGCAGTCTGCCTGCCATGTCTCACTGTCCTCCCTCAACAAACTCCTCTCAACCTCCCACAGTTTCTACACAAATAAACTGCTGCTTTCATGACAGCCTATCACCAGTGTTTAAATGGCTATTTTGGAAGTCAAAGGAACCCAAAAAAGGCGAGCACTAGCTAGGCAATACATGACTTATGCATAATTACCTACAGTGATTAGGGTATGTAATATATATAGGCCTACTATACTATACTATATACTATGTACATATATATACAGTATATACACAGTATCTCCTGCAGTCTGCCTGCCATGTCTCACTGTCCTCCCTCAACAAACTCCTCTCAACCTCCCACAGTTTCTACACAAATAAACTGCTGCTTTCATGACAGCCTATCACCAGTGTTTAAATGGCTATTTTGGAAGTCAAAGGAACCCAAAAAAGCGAGCACTAGCTAGGCAATACATGACTTATGCATAATTACCTACAGTGATTAGGGTATGTAATATATATAGGCCTACTATACTATACTATATACTATGTACATATATATACAGTATATACACAGTATATGTATGTATATGTATATACAGTATGTATGTATGTGTATATATTAGGGATGCAGCGATTAACCAGTTTCACAATTAACCGCGCTTTAAAATGTCACGGTTAATTAATCGTAAAGCCTCCGCTACACCGAGTGTTTCTGTTGCACAGAATGGAACAGTTGCAATGTGCCCAAAACGAAAACAAAGTTACACTAGTGGTGCACTAGCTTAAAATGCTGTGCTTATCAGAGACACGGAGGCTACTACACACACTAGATTAACTATGACAGAGGAACCAAACAGCGATCCTTTATTTCCACCAGAGAAATGCCTAAAGTCGATAGTGTGGGACCATTTTGGGTACACCAAGAATGACCAGGGTGTCATTTAAATATTGCTATAAAAACTGCTGCTAAAGAGCGAATACATGGCTTTAAACTATTTTAATGCACGACGTGAAGGCAAGACTGACGCAAAGCTATGGCTCGTTAGCTCAGTATTCTGCCCACTTCAGATCAGACAGATGAAATAGTGTGGTAAGATCACATTTATTTGAATTAATTAATTATAACATTTAGCTACTTGAATTAATTATTCGGTCGAGAGAGAGGGAGAGAGAAGTGTGTGAACCTGCGTCAGCGCGTCTCTCTACAAACATGTAAGTTTAGTTACTTAAACAGTGATTTTACCCTCTCCTTGCTGATGAATATGTAGCAATTCAGTATCTAAGCTATTTTATTAATAAAAATCACAGGGCAGGGTTCACAACAAGTTTGTGTCCTCGTGAATGTTTGTATGTGTGCACAGCGCGATCTCCGATCTCACAAACCAAAATAATAGACATGATTTTCTCAGGCCACATGGAAAATCATATGAATTATTATAAAAAATTATTAAAATGAATACGTATGGGTGACAGTTGATTACAATGATAGTTCAGTTTATTCCCCTCATTATTAATAGTTTCCCCTATGGGATAAATTAATTTAATTGTCCTATATTAGTAATACTTCTTAACATTGTTATCTATAATCCCTTTTATAGTATTATGCATAAGTGAAAAACCAAAAAGATTAGTTTTTTTTCACCATGTTTCCAGTTTTCTGCCTCAGGTCCAAAATAAATGTAAAGAATGTACAAACTGAAAACACTAAATACTTTTGTGATCTATTTTCATTAGTTATTTTCAAAAGGGAAATACTGACATGGATGTTTAAAGAGCAGAGTTCACCTTTTTAATTTTGTTTGTCTTTATTATTATTATTATTATTTTGTGCTGTATTATTGGTTACTGTGTTATTTCTCTTTCTAAAGGCAACAATAAATAACACTTTATTATCTAAAGAGTGTCCATGTGATTTTATACATTCATAATTTTGTGAAATGAATAATTGTATAATAATCGTCATAATCGTGAAATCAGACATAATCGTGAATTCCTCAGACAATAATCATACCAACAAAATCTATAATCGTTGCATCCCTAGTATATATATATATACAGTGGGTACGGAAAGTATTCAGACCCCCTTAAATGTTTCTCTCTTTGTTATATTGCAGCCATTTGCTAAAATCATTTAAGTTAATTTTTTTTCCTCATTAATGTACACACAGCACCCCATATTGACAGAAAAACACAGAATTGTTGACATTTTTGCAGATTTATTAAAAAAGAAAAACTGAAATATCACATGGTCCTAAGTATTCAGACCCTTTGCTCAGTATTTAGTAGAAGCACCCTTTTGATCTAATACATCTAATCTAATCTAATCTAATTTCTTCTGATCATTGTACAGTAAATGAACATGCTTTCCAGAAGGCCAACAATTCACAAAACAATTTTTTTTATTGGTCTTATGAAGTAATCAAATTTGTTGAGATAGTGAATTGGTGGGTTTTTGTTAAATGTGAGCCAAAATCATCACAATTAAAAGAACCAAAGACTTAAACTACTTCAGTCTGTGTGCATTTAATTTATTTAATACACGAGTTAAGCAATTTGAGTTGAATTATTGAAATAAATGAACTTTTCCATGACAATCTAATTTATTGAAATACACTTGTGTATATATATATATATTTATTTATAAAATTTATTTAGTTTTATTTACAAGGTTCAGGAGAAGTACAATCAGATAATCAACCAATTCAGGAGCTCGTCTAGTTAAGCCAACTCACCTCTTTTCAACGACATTTTTCCGCCATATATATAAATATATATATATATATATATATATGTATATGAGATGTATTATACTTTCAACTTTAGGACACATCTCATCCATCTTCACTGACTGCTAGCGTAAACATGAAAGAAATAGTGTCCAGTTACAATACATAAAAAAACACTCTGTCCCTTGTAAAATGCATGCTGTATATTATATTCATTATATATTATATATTTAGTGCTTTATTTTTATTTATTCTTTATATAAATAATATATTTTTCAGTAAAAAAATTATATATTGCATTTAATTAATATATATATATATATTTAATAAATATATTTTCATTCTTTAGTATATTTTATCATTTTATATTTTATATATATTTTAGTTCTTTCTCTTATATGTTTGTTTTATTATAGTTATAAAATAATTTTTTTATTGTTATTATACCAATTTTAATTTCATATATCGTTAGTGCATGTTTTATGTATTTTATAATTAAATTATAATGCTTTATAAAATAAAAGAAATGCGTTTATTTTTGTTTTTCTATATATTTTAATACATTTTTATTCTTTTAGATTTTATATATATTTTAGAGCTTTCTCCTTTTTATGTTGGTAATATTTAAAAATATATATTTTTGTATAATTTTTATTCTTTAGTATTTTATATATATTGTCTACTTTTGTTTTCCACTAAAGGAAAAGCCAATTTTCATGATCTTTATTAGGGCTGCTCTACATAAACAATATAATTTCCCTCCAATAATTATTTAAAAAAATTAATCAAATTAAATCTTTATGCTAACACAACATTATTAGATATATACAGTGGTGTGAAAAAGTGTTGGAAAACTGTGTGTTGTGTTATCTTTTACTAATATTTAAATTAGTTTGATGATCTGAAACATTAAAGTGTGACAAACATGCAAAAAAATAAGGAATCAGGCCAACACTTTTTCACACCACTGTACATCTATACATCTGTGAGCAAGCTCTTAATAATTATTCTGAAAACTTCTCATGAGTTTCACTTTGTGTTTTGGCTGCTTGTTGTATAAATCTTAGCCTACAATATAAGGATTTGCTTAGTACTGAGTGTTAAGATCTCAGTAACACAAAACTGTTGACATATGTGCCAGGCGATGTTATCTCTCTAGGGATTTATTATATATATGAAATATCAATAAGGGCTGAAAGGTGTGAAAAACACTCTTAGAAGCTCTTCATGGCTTTTCTTTTGAGAGATTTAAAGGGAAGAAAGATGCACTTGAGAGAGAAAATCTGTCAGTCTAGTGCAGGGATCCTCAAATCTGGCCCACGAGATCCAGTTTCCTGCAGAGTTTAGCTCTAACCCTAATCAAACACACCTGAGCATGCTAATCAATGTCTTCAGGATCATTAGAAAATCACAGGTAGATGAGTTTGATCAGGGTTGGAGCTAAACTCCGCTGCGCATTGGACCTCCAGGGTAAGATTTGAGGAACCCTGGTCTAGTGGAATATTTATGCAGATTTATTTATGGTGTTGGGGATTTGCTATGGTAGGCCAGAAAACTGAAACACTTCTCATCCTCCCCGACTCCGACATGCTTATTGCACAGTTAATGCTTGTTTTTGCTAGTCAGAAAGTAAACAGTCTTAACACAGTCTATCTCGTCTACTTAAAGATAATGTTGTCTGTCTCGCTGCCATCTTATGGAGGTAGTTTTGTTCTGTACTTTCGCTAATAGATGCCAGTCCCTGCTTTCTCTAAGACATATAAACACTGTGCTTTGGAACCATTGGATTTATGACCCCTCAGTGATTTCAGTCATTTGCTTCATGAAATGAAGCTCTTCGAAATAAAACCACCTGCTATTTTGTTGTTTTTTCACCAACAACAGATGAACTTTATCCTCTTCATTTGTATCATTCGTATACTGCGGCAGAAGATCAACTGTCCTGACATTGGGAGAAATGAATCAAACCAATATTCGTAAGTATTTGGACCCCATTCAAACAGATTTTTGCATTCAAATAAGAGTCATTCTGTAATTTGTTCTCTTTAATCTCCTCACCCTGCTGAGAGGACCAGCATGAAATTTAAAGGGATAGTTCACACAAAAATGAAAATTCTGTCATCATTTGCTCACCCTCATCTCACTCCGAACTCATGACTAATTCTCTTCTGTGCAGCACGACAGGAGATTTTACTCTTTTAAATGAGATGTTAACCTAGTGTGAGACGTCTTGAAAAATGTGAATGAGATTCGAGAACTGCAGCAAAGGAGATTACCTGTGATTGTAATAGCGACTTAAATTTCTGAAAATATCTTTTCCTGACTCTTAAGCTATCATATGACTTCAGAAGACTTGGAATCTAGCAAATGAGTCATATGACTACTTTTATTATAATACTTTTTTGCATTATTTTTTAAGCTTGAAATTGACATTAATTGTAATTGAATGGAAAAGAATGGAAATAAGTTATTTATACATCTTTCATGGGTGAAAGAAAGTGATAATGGCTGATGTTCTTCATTTTTGGGTGAAATTTCCATTTAAATGTTGTTCCAAATTGGTTAAAGCTTGAAAGTTCTGGTCTAGTCGACCAGCCTTCGGCTAATCAGCTAAACCAGCAGAAAATGAAATCTGGTTGGCCAAAGGAGTCTTGTTGGTTAAGCTGACGGGGACACCAGCATCTAAATCACAACTTCTTCTGTAGACCAACTATTCTGGTCTTTTTGGTAGGATGAGGACTGGAGGTACATGAGAAACATTTTAGCTTATGTAATTTTAACATGGGCATAAAATATGGGGATATTTTAGCCGGCCTCTCCAGCAGCGAGCGAGAACCCACTGCACTGCAATCTCATCATATAAAATGTCACTGGCTCTCTCCGCCCCTGTTCGGATGATTTAATGTCCTTTGTCCTTAAGTAGCTCTCCACTGTGCAGTTCGCACAAAACAAGACTCAATTCTTAAGCACCTGCAATTTTCTACCCAGCATCACTTATGTTGTTATTCCGTTAATATGCTTTTTGATATCACCTAGTAATGATATCATTCTCTGCCCTGCGCTGTGTGCATATGACTGAGAGGAAAGTATCCCATAAAGCTGTTTGTCATGTTTTTTCTTCTTTTCTATAGGAGGCTGGCAAAATCCACACTTTTGTTGATTCCACTCTTTGGGATAAACTTCATCATATTCGCTTTCATTCCTGAGAACATAAAAACTGAGCTAAGACTCGTGTTTGACCTCATTCTTGGGTCATTTCAGGTACGTCTGAGGATTTAATCACTCAAACTAGCTGTAAAAACATAAAGTAGAGCCCAAATATCAATAGTCGCCAGTGACAGGAAATGCTCTCAGGCTAATCGTAGCACTGTTGTTCAGATAGCAGAATAGTTTAATGATGTCTGGTAGAACTGCTCAGGGCTCCTCAAACAGTCTCCATAGAGAATCTCTGTCTTGCACACTTTAGCTATTGGCCATTGTTTTTTTTTTAATGGCATAATTGGGTGTTTCTTCAACTGTGGCCACTTTTGCCCTGTGGATGTTTAGGAAATAAACTCTTATAAACACTTTTCACATTCTCACTAGTTTATTCAATTTAAGGTCATGGACATTTCCACCACTTTGCAAATGATGCATTTATTGTGTTTAAAGGAAATTGGTGAAAAATTAAATTTTAAATTTTATTTTATTAAACTGTTTACTCATTTGTATTGCATTTTAACCTAGCACATTTTTGTATCCTAAATACAAACAATAACAATATTTTCACTCTTTTTTTGCATTAGTTAATGCAATAACTAGCATTAAATAACAATGGGCAATTCATTTGTTGCAGTATTTATTAATCTTTGATCATTTTAGTTAATAATGTAGTTAACTAATGTTAACAAATTGAACCTTACTGTAAAAAGTTACCAATTGTATGTTATGTATCTCCTCATTAGATAAATACATTAACTTTTCAAAATCTTTAGCAAAAAACAGTTGCCACAACTGTAGTCAAAGTCGTAATTTCGAATATATATTAAAACCATTTCTATACAATAACTATGTAAATTATTTTTTATTAAATTATTTATGTGAAAAAAAAATTCCCTATAATATGAATATTAACAAGCTGGGTCTGGGACGTCGTAATTTCGAATATATATTAAAACAATTTCTATACAATAACTATGTAAATTATTTATTATTAAATTAATTATGGGGGAAAACAGTTCCCTATAATGTGAATATTAACAAGCTGGGTCTGGGAAAAGGGTAAAGCAACAAAATAAAACAATTTTTTAAAGAAAAAAATGATGAAGGCATGGTAGAAAGTTTTCAATACAGTTTTAAACGTGACCTTCATGTAACAAAAGGAAAAAAATCTGTTAGTTTTAATAAAAATAAGCCCTTCGGACAAAAAAGTGACCCAATTTTAACATTCTTGGGCAGAGCCACCAGAATGACTGGCATGAATTCAGGAAGGGTTTGTCCCCGTTAGTTAAATATTCTTACAGTATATCTGCTACAGGACTCGCCAAACCCATATTTTCTAGGCCACAGTCATACTAGACAGTCTGGTAGGAATCTCTAGGCATTTAGCACATTGTCATTCCCACGTGTAATGCCTTCATTGTACCTGCAGTGACATACAGTATCAGTAAGTTGCTTTCACTTGTTTTAACAGGGTTTTGTGGTTGCTGTGCTCTACTGTTTCCTGAATGGAGAGGTAAGACATGGAAGGATGGATAGACAGACAGAATCTTTAGGTGCACTCAGTCACAACTGATCAGAAGCCACTTCCTATATTGAAGTTTCATTCAATTTCTCTAGCTAAAAGCTAAAGCCCTGGAAGCCTGTAATTGGCTTAGATTCTGCTAACTCACACAGGCTACAAATAGCTCTAGACATACTGGCAGAGGAGGCCTATTACTTTGATATATGCATTGATGTTCACAGCATCTTGGGGCTTTTTTGCTTGTACAGATTAAATAAAAGGGTCACAAGTGCAGACTTTTTTCCAGGTGCATTCAAATAATCTGACATGTTTGGTTTGTGCACCACAAATGAACAGCTTGTACACAAACTGATTTCTATGTGTAAAATGATCCTGTTTTACCATAAAAACAACCCAGGCTCACTGGAATTAAGTGACTACATTTGTGCAAAACCTGAAATACATTTCGCTGCACTTTTCAGGTGAACACTAGAGGCAGTAAAACAACAACTTTTGTTACTTTTCACACAAATTATAATTACAGTGGCAAATTATTGATTAATAAAGACTTATTTTCATGCAGTTCCTTACACAATATTATGTTCCTATGTTAAAACACTTTTAAAATAGTGCATCATTTGTAAACTAATAAATTTTGCATCACACAAGCAGCTCCATATTTATGGCTTTTCTGGCACAGTAAACTTGCCCTACAACTCACCTGGCACATCATTGCACTTGCAATGTTTGCTTTTATTAACACTATAGGATTTAATGTAGGTGGTTGATTATTATTTTTAAATGCAACAGAGCATCAATAATTCAGACTCACTTACCAGACATTTCATTTCCAAACTGCTTTGATACGTGCATCAACCAACATAATAAGGGTGTTTTAAGGGTGTGTTTACACTTAGTAGATTTCGGCCTGAACCAAAATGTGACTGACATTTTTAACTCAAAATTGTTATTTTCATTTCAAAAACTGACATTTTTAACACCAAACCTAAAGGTACAAAACAAAAGGCACAAGGATATGGTGGAAACAGCTTGTAGGACGTATATTTTGTGAACTTACTTTACTTACATCTGAAAACCAACACCTATACACTCTTAAAAATAAAGGTGCTTCAAAAGGTTCTTCAAGCGATGCCATAGAAGAACCATTTTTGGTTCCACAAAGAACCATTCAGTCAAAGGTTCTTTAAAGAACCATCTCTTTCTTACCTTTTTGTAATTTGAAGAACCTTCTTTCGCCACAAAGAACCTTTTGCCAAACAGAAAGGTTCTTCAGATGTTAAAAGTTCTTTATGGAACCATTAGGCCCTTTCGCACCGCTTTAGTTCCAGATCTAAACGTAGGGTACTGAAGTACTGGGACGATTTTGCGCGAACTATTTCCCAGTACCATTTAAAGGGTTGCATTCGCACCAACAAAAAGGTTCTTCTATGGCATCGTGAAGCACCTTTATTTTTAAGAGTGTACCAAACTGTCACTGTTTTTTTCTTCTTCTTGTCATAAGAGCTATGTTGCATAGCTCTTATGACAAGAAGAACCAGGTATGCTTGAGCAATCTGTTGTTGAAAAGGTGGATCTCCGTCTGCTTGTTTGGCACACACCAAGGTTTGGATGGTAGCGTTCACACTTAAAGGGGACATAACACACACAGTTTCACCCAATCTCATGTTAATCTTGAGTACCTATAGAGTAAGATTGCATCCTTCATATCTCCAAAAAGTCTTTAGTTTTATCATATTTATAAAAGAAAGATACAGCTTTACGATTCTCTTCGGGAGTTCCACCCTTCATGACGTCATGAAGAGCCATGATCGAAAAAAAACTTTCCGAAACCTATATGAGCCTGGAAGGCGCGTATTTGGCACAGAAATACTGCATCAAATCTATTCAATTCTACATCAAAATCAACATGCATGAAATAGCATTAGACCCTCCCTTTAAGGGCCATTCACACCAAAGAGGATAGCTATAAAAATAGCTAAAGATATAGTTTCCAAAATCAGTTCAAATTTAGTTCACAACACCACCAGAACAATAACAGCACAAAGGAATGATATCATTGGAATCACTTTCAAACTTTTTTTTCTCCAGCTGATCATATAAAAACACTGGCAGCCAATCAGAATCCCAAAAACTGTGTACCACCAGTCACTACAGATTTCACTTTCAAAGTGCTGTGAATGTGCTACAAGCAATGCAATATAATTTTGCAAAGAAAGCATGTTTTTTTTCATGACACTGGGCTTTTTAATAAACCCTCATTTGCAATGGGATAAAATGCAAATGAGGGTTGTGGATGTGGATGTGTCACCTAAAAAATTGTGTAGCAAAATACAATGCATACTTCAAGTTTTGCAGAAATGTAGCCTATAGTCAGATATTTCCAATGAGCCAGTGTTGTGTAAAACCCAGTTGCAACCGTTTTACTTCCTTAATGCTCCTTATTTACAGAGTTACTTAAAGGCATAGTTCACCCAAAAATGAAAATTCTGTCATTAATTACTCAACCTCTTGTCGTTCCAAACCCTCAACACCCCGTTCATCTTTGGAACACATATTTTTGATGAAATCTGAGAGCTTTCTGACCCTGCATAGACCGCAACGCAACTACCGCGTTCAAGGCCCAGAAAGGTAGTAAGGACATCAGTGGTTCAACCGTAATTGTAAGAAGCTACGAAAATAATTTGTGCGCAAAGAAAATAATGACTTTATTCAATAATTTCTTCTCTTTGTGTCAGTCTTTGACGTGCATTCACGAGAGTACCACAACTAATGACACATGGACTATTTTAATGATGTCCTTATTAGGGTTTGGAATCGATTCCGATTCCAGAATCGGATACTTAAGGTCAGGAATTGGATGCTTGTTGTCCAATTAAAATTTAGATTCCACCTATCGATTCCTATGTGCTTTTTTTTTCTTCATCTGTGAGGACCAGACCTAGCAATCTGCCAGGACCTTGCTCGCTAATCTAAGCGCTCCAAAGTTTGCTACATTTGCGATCAGAAGCCAAAAAAGCTAAGTATAATATCTGTGATATCTAAACATGTTGCAAGAGAGGTGTCACCACCAATATGAAAGCACTTTAATTTAATAGATCTTTAAAGATCGCTACCACGATTCAAACACCAACGTGATTCTATTCCTAAATTACAATGATTCGTCTGTTTCATTCTTCAACCTTTTTGACGTGTGCGATCAATGTTGTGATCACTTGTTGGTTCATCCGTGCAGAGTACGATCACACCAGTGTGATTTGAGCATTTAAATTTGCGTTCGCGCTGCCATTGACCTAAAGAGAGCAGCTGTCTTTCATGAATGAAACAGCTTCACAGCCTTTTCCTCCACACAGTATCATTATTTCTGTTACAAACATTCAAATCACAGAAGTACTGGGATACAAGTTTATAGTTCAGATATAAACTGTGTGTATGATGTGTATGGTAGTGATTAAAATAGAGTAAATCACCTTTTGAAAGTAATTTGACACTTCAAATGAAGATTTATCGATTACATTATTACGCCAGTAGGTGGCGAAAAGGGGCTGTTAAAATGTATTTGTCTTTGAATCATACAAGAGATTCTTCAAGAACGCTGATTCATTCAGTAATGAAACAAGTACATCTTGAGTGAGTCATTTAATAATTAATTCATAAATGACATGTGATTTTTTTTTTGTTTTCTAATGTTTTTTCTTCAGAATCAGGAGAGAACCACAACTTCCATTGGGGAAAGATAAAGAAAACTCAATTAATCCAGAATCATGCAGTTCTATTTTGCAAACAAACAGCTCTTAAAGAGTCCAGTTTTTATGTAGCCTGTTGATTTTTGTTCATGGCATTCAGCTCCAATAAATGGTTTGCAAAAAAGAGACACAGTATAAATGTTCGATATCATTATTTAATCACATTGGAATCGAAACTGGGAATCGAAAAGAATCGGAATCGATAAAATTCAAACGATACCCAAACCATAGTCCTTATTACCTTTCTGGGACTTGAACATGTCAGTTTCGCTGCTATCTATGCAGGGTCAGAAAGCTCTCAGAGGTCATCAAAAATATCTTAATTTGTGTTCAGAAGATGAACAAAAGTCTTACGGGTTTGGAAGGACTTGAGGGTGAGGAATTAATGACATAATTTTCATTTTTGGGTGAACTAAAATTTTTAATGTACCTTGTAGAGTTTCTGTACAAAACTGTAGAGTGAGAATGTTTTATCCATCACCAATTGATTAGAATGGATCTCGTCCTTCTCTCAGGTCCAAGCTGAGATCAAGAGGAAATGGAGGCGATGGCACCTCGAAAGGTTTCTGGGTCCTGACACCAAATACCAGCACCCATCCATGGGCAGCAACGGCAACAACTTCAGCACGCAGATCTCCATGCTGACTCGCTGCAGCCCCAAGACTCGCCGCGCATCCGCATGTCAAGATGAGACGTCCATCACAGTCTAACTTGGCTTCTATAATGATGTGGTATTGTCACCAGAATGAGACCGTGAGAGGACATGAAGATGTCCAGGAAGTGTTCTAGTGAAATGCAGTTCTGACCTTCAGAGAGATGAGCTACTAAACCGTACATTTGCTGAAAATAGCGCAATTTGTTTCCATAGGAGTCATCAGTGAGGTTCTTGTATGAAAAACACAATATCGGACAGGCACAGGTCATCTTCTGCAACACATAAAACCTGTAAATAAAGCCACAGTGATCTTCTGGAGAGCAGCGAGATCGTAGTTTTGCTGTCATTTTGTGCCAACTCGGCTCTGCAGGGACACAGAAGCAACAGCATCATCAAGAATGACTGATGATACGCTGCTGGAAAAAGAGGTTAGGGATTCTTTGCCTGGACTGCTCATATATTTTGCTTATGAGGTAAGTAAAAAAAAAGAAAAAAAAAAGAGAGAAACAAAAAGGCTACCAAAAGCGGATTGTTGAATATCCAATATATGGAGATACACTGTAGAGACCAAATGTGATGTTTTTTTTAATTATGTTTTCAGATCAGTGTGTGTGTGTGTGTGTGTGTGTATTTAGGCACGTTTGGAAGCCGAATGCCCTTCTCTGCACTATCATTCCAGATAAGTCATCCCAGCGGTGTGTCAACATTCAGTTTGCATGCTTGTTTGAGTGTCATTGTGCCATGTATCGCCGTGACTTGACGGTTTTATGGTCTAATGTCAAATCCTTTTGTGCGAAGAACAAACTATCAATTGTGAGATCAACGATGACAAAGACGGCGCTGTTGGAGCTTGACATAACTGTCATAGGCTTTGACAATGCTTATTATTTATCTTAAAGAATAATACACAGACAAATTTATACTTAACAATGGAAGTGGTACTTATGTGTATTGTAAGTCTTTGCGGTAATGCTAATGCTGTAAACTTAGCATTTCCTTTGTACTGTGACAACATTTTATTTACATTCTTTAGTTTCAGTGGTAACTTGCAGTGCTTGTTCAACTACTGTAGAAGGATATTTATGTTTACGTACAAGCTAAAGAGAAACGAAAAAGCAGGCCGCCCTGTCACACCAATGTTCTTGTCTCACAGTTTTACTCATTGAGATGGACTTGCAGCCAGATCAAGGCCTGTGAAGTCCCGGAAAGTGGCTCGAACTGGGTCAGCGCCACATAAAGGTAGTTCAGTCTGGATTGTGGTTTCTGTTTCTGTACAGTCACATCTGATAGAATATATAAAGGGAATATAATAATATAATATAAGGCAAATTCATTTTAATGCTACAGCTTGCAAAGGTTATAGAAATATATTTAATAAAAAATTAAAGCCTCAAATCACTGCCCAATATTGTCCGATGGCATACAGTATTTTTTATTTTAAATGTGTGATTAGCCAGATTACCTCTAATCTACCATGATAAAGAATGTATATTCTTATAAAAATGTTTCAATATCACTTTAAGTTAGCTAGCAGTGTACTTTGTGAACTTTATATAAATGCATATAGGAAAAGGTGCCTATTTTAATGAGTTGCGCTGTATAGACTATGTCTGGTTTTGAAACGACGTGCTGTTTTGTTGTATATTAATGTGGGTGAAACATAATTTATAAGTGCACAGCAGAAGATCTGGATGTTGTATATATTAACTGTGTATCTGTGCCGTGAAAGTGAGTAATATTTGTCCTTACCGCATGCTACACAGGCAACATACGGTACATTTCAAGTAATAAATTCACAAAAAGCATGACCCAAATTCTTTACAGTCATGTGTACACGTGAATATTTTTGTATCTACATTTAAACAAGCTTGATACATGGTATGTATTTTTGTAACATTTGGGACCATTTTCCATTGTTGTTTGAATGTTCACGATCAACAATTTTAAATAAACAACTTGAGCTGTACGTTTACATTGTTCAGAAATTACACACATAAGAACTGCTTGTCCATTGGGTTACAACAGACACTCTCATATCAAATCCTTTCAATTTTCCATCTGCCTTAAAGAAAACCAAGAATAAGCCGTGTGACACAGACTCACAGTCCTGTTTCCCCAGAGAGATTTAGCTAAATAATTTATTTGCTGTGTAAATTTCACTCTACTAAAATACACCGCTTCCCCTCTGAGCCTGTCAAATCCCATACTTACTTTGAAGAACCGTTCTGCTTTTGCCTTCTGGTAAGCACTGAATGAAATTAAGGGCATAGCAGCAAATGCTAACAACAAAACACATTTTTATACTTTTAGAGGCTTTGGTTTAATTGTCTAGATAATTTTAGCAATCCATTGTGCCAGCTCAGCGTCGATCCTGCAGGAAACAGGACGTTTTCCTTATCTACCTGGGTTTCTCTATTGTTTCTTCTGTTCAGCAAAATATGAGGAATCAACCAATATAAACAAGTAAATGTGGGGTGGCTACATTATGACATATGTGTACATCAGCAGGAAAGAACCATTTCCAGTCACTCATCACACTGATGAGTGACTGGAAATGGTTCTTTCCTGAGAACATTTTGATTAGCCAAAGTAAAACACTCATATTTGTGTCAGCAATGGTGAGAGATTCATTTTCTCTGTGTGGTTTCATCTCATTGTCAGCTGGTCCTGTTTTCCACATGATCGTGCGTCTAACATTTCTCTTAAAGGTTTCTGCTTCAGTTTAGGCATAAGACAACACCTCACCCTGAGGCCATGCAAGATGTAAATGAGTTTGTTTCTTAATCTGAACAGATTTGGGTTGGCAGTGAATAGGTGGCATCAGAATGAGAGTCCAAACAGCTGATAAAAACATCACAGTAATCCACGACTCCAGTCAACCAATTAACGTCTTGTGACTTATCTACATAAACTTATTTATAGCTTGAATGGCCTGAGGGTGAATACATTTTCAGTAAAAAAAAAATCTTTCTGTAAACTATTCCTGTACGATTTAAATGCAATGATGTGAAAATAGCAGTAAATATGTTGTTAAGGGAATGTATGTTTTACTCATTCATTTTGAACTTTATTAAAATAAGCCTCAAACCTGACACCATACTTCACTGAATTCAAGTGTAAAGTGTGTGCCTGTATTTTCATTTCTAATGTGTTTTTCTGTTCTATCACAGCGGTTTAGTCTTGTTATCTGTGTTTTTGTTTTGAAGGGTTCACCGCTTCAGTCAGGGATCATCCATCTACTAAGGTCAGATTGTACTGATAACAAAATACATGAAAAATAAAGCTGTCAGATTGCTCAAGAGACCAAATATATTTCATCTGCCACAGCCTCCCTTCAGCCTGATACTATATGAGTTTCTCAGATATAAACCTTGAAAAGTGGTAACCTGCAATTGAGCGATTTCTATCTGATTGAACCAATAAATATTGTTCATGTAACCTAAAGGATTCAGTGATGTTAATATTTTTAATAGAATATTTTTTTCAGATTAACATTTTTTTCTGTATATGTAGATTTGTTGCAGCTAACATGAATAATTAATTTAACGTGCAAAAAAGCTAACGGATAATGCTAATAACAAATATCATATTCTACATGCCAACGAGTCCAGCTTAAATCGAAAATTTGTTAATAAAAGTATTTTATATTAAAATAGAAAGGATTTCGTCATTCCTTTGGATGTTGTTTTTGCTGCTTTCCACATCAGGACTGTTAACAGGTGCCTAGCCACAGGCCACATGTCAGTATTCGTGTCCATTGTTAAATATTCATGGACTAAAAAACCCATCAAGGTTCAGCAAAAGCATTGCTCAACAAGTTTCAAAGCTTTGAGCTGGACCAAACCTACTTTAAGAATAACTAGCAAATCTGTGCCATTGTATTGCTGCCTCAACCTGATATTGAAAGAAATGGCCCCTACTGGGTGCTGATGTGAAATCTAGTGGCTTCCATTCAGCAAAGCATGACATGGTATAAGAAAGAACTTGATCTGGTCATTTGCTATCCTTCAGTTTCGAGCCAGTGATTTAACCCTCCCAGGCGTGATTGAGAACCACGACTGGAGCTCGACCTGTCAGACAGTATCCAATCAGAGAAAGCTTGACTTGCCTCAGGCTCCACTGGTGTTGATAAGATGCAGTCCCACACACACCTGAAACGGCACACAGTGATCCCTGGGCTCCTTATTACGACAAACCGGCATCTTAAACTTTATGGGAAAATCAAACCTCTGCACGGCGATTTTTTAAATCGTAAACATACGCTAGACGGACGTGTTGTGACACTTTTGCTGATCAGCAACTCCTGCATGCGCGACGGGCTCTTAAGACTTTTTAAGTACACTATATTGTAGCCTATTTTTAAAAACGCTTTCATTCCACTTCGTTGCGTCTCGAATTTTAAAGGCAAGTATGCATTCTGTGTGAACGAACGCCTTGGTTTTTGCTGCGATCTACTTTTTTTTTAACTATATATATAAATGCCTCTGGCTGTCACTCCGCGTTTTGTTGCTTTATCAGCGTCTCGCGCATGCGCAATAGGTTGAACGCTGAATCTCGCGTTTTAACAAGTGTGAACGAACATTCTTACTTTCTGCCACCTTTTACTTAGATACATTTTTATATGTAAACATGCATAGATGTATAGGCCATTACCAGATCTTAAAAGGCACTGTTTTTTTTGTCGCTATTCAACTAAAAAAAAAAAAAACCTTCAGCCTCCAGTCCAGGGGTGGCAAACGTCGGTCCTGGAGAGCCGCAGCCCTGCCGAGTTTTGCTTCAACCCTCATCACAATTAAAAGAACCAAAGACTTAAACTACTTCAGTCTGTGTGCATTTAATTTATTTAATACACGAGTTTCACAATTTGAGTTGAATTACTGAAATTAACTTTTCCATGACATTCTAATTTATTGAGTTGCACCTATATATTCACTCTTTGTTCATCCGCTGTCCGCTTAGAATAATTTTCTTCCCGACCCGACCGTTCCCGCTAAATTTAGATCTCGTTTCCAGAATCTCACATTTAAATTTCCGCTCTTGAAAGAAAGAAAGATAGGCTAGCAAATAAAAGTGTAGTCTGCACAAAAGTGTATGTTATTTTATTCGTCTTGTCAAGAGTCTTGAATTTATTGACTTTGACTTGAATTTATATGAATTATCTTAAGACACGAAATTGGCTTACTATTTTATGCAACGCAGCAGCAAAAAAAGTGTCAGAAAATAATGTACAAAAATTGTTTCTTATTTTTATTCGTCTTGTCAGGATACAATTCGTTTAACATTTACAACACAATAGGAAAAAGTGTCGCAGAGAAAAAAAAATACAAATAGGTTGTACAAAAATAGTCTATAAGCTATTTTTATTTATCTTGTCAAAATTCTAAATTCGTTTGACATTTTTCTGTTAACACCGTAGGAAAAGTGTTGCAGAGAAAAATTAATGACATTTGTCATTTAAAATTATAGGCTAAGCAAAATATAAACAAAA